ATTGCCCTCCTTAGTTACATATCATATAAAAACGTATGCTGGGGCTTCCCTGGTGGCGCAGTGGTTGAGAGTCCGCCTGCCAACGCAGGGGACGTGGGTTTGTGCCCCGGTCCGGGAAGATCCCACATGCCACGGAGCGGCTAGGCCCGTGAGCCATGGCCACTGAGCCTGCACGTCCGGAGCCTGTGCTCCGCAACGGGAGAGGCCACAACAGTGAGAGGCCCGCGCACCGCAAAACAAAAACAAAAACAAAAACGTATGCCGATATGCACTAGGATATATGTACAAGGATGAGAAACCTTGTTGGTAATAGTTCCCAGCTGGAAACAACCCAAATACCCATGGAGAGTAGAAAAAATAAACAAATTATGAGCCAAGACATGGAAGCAACCTAAATGTCCATCGACAGATTAATGGATAAAGAAGATGTGTTTTATACATACACACACACACACACACACACACACACACACACACACACACACAATGGAATATTACTCAGCCATAAAAGAAGAATGAAATAATGCCATTTGCAGCAACATGTATGGACCTAGAGATTATCATACTAAATCAGACAGAGATGAATACCATATGATATTACTTATTTGTGGAATCTTAAAAATGATACAAATGAACTTATTTACAAAACAGAAAGAGACTCACAGACATGGAAGACAAATGTATGGTTACCAAAGGGGAAAGGTGGGAGGGATAAATTGGGAATTTGGGATTAACAGATACACACTTCCATATGTAAAATAGATAAACAACAAGACCTACTGTATAGTAGAAGGAACTATATTCAGTGTCTTGTAATAACCTATAATGGAAAAGAATCTGAAAAAGAATATATATAAACATATATAGATATAGATATAAAACTGAATCACTTTGCTGTACACCTAAATCATTGTAAATCAACTATACTTCAATAAAAAAACAAAAAACAAATCATGGATAGAATATAACGGAATACTATATAGCAATGAATCGAGAATGGACTATACATGCAACAACATGGATGAATCATAAGGCATAATAATGAGCAAAAGAAGTCAAATACAGACTGTATGATTCTATTTATATAAAGTTCAAAACCACGCAAAATTAAACCATATTGTTGAAGGATGCATAATCAGATAACAACACTTAAAGAAAAGCAAGGAAATGAATAACACAGAAGTCAGAATAGTGGTTATGCTGGCAGGGAGGGAGGGGATATGATCTGGCAAAGGACACACCAGGGTGTGGGCTTCTGAAGTGCTAGTAGTGTTTGTTTTACAATAATTTATGTGTCACACTGTATTTATGTTTTTAGCACTTTTCTGTATGCTTGTTGTATTTCACACATATGCATGTTTTTAAAAACAACAGCAAAAAAATAAATAAATAAAAAATAAAAACAACAACAAAGGACAGCCACCTGGGCTTTGGAAACAAACAAGGAAGCTACTTAGTAGCTGTTCGACTTTGGACACATTACTGAAGGGGCAAGATGATATAAGACCCCGCTTAGAGAAGATATGAATCAAAAAATGTGAATCTCCCTTTAAGAAAGGAATTAGTTTTTAATTGAAGGGAAACTGAAAAAATAATACTGGAATCTAAAAGACCTTTATATATGCAGGTGTTGTGCTGTAAAATGTTCTAATCTGTGTTGTTAATGAAGCTGGATTTACAACCTAGTAAACTAAACAAAGAGTTTATGTTTAGTTGATTAACCAGTCAAGGCTAAAATCTATTCTACTTAAGTGACCGTTTTTTTCACTTTTCTTCTATCCAATGTAAAAAGATACTGGCTCTCTTACTGTGAAATTGCTTTATTACAAGACTCTGTTTACCCATTTGAAACGCTAACTTCTATCTTTGTGAAATTTGCTCCATACAATTGGGAGAAGTCCTAATGATGGTAATAATAGTTTACACAAAGGGTTCAAATTAGGAACAAAGTAATTCTTTTTTTTTTTTTTTTTTGTGGTACGCGGGCCTCTCACTGTTGTGGCCTCTCCTGTTGCGGAGCACAGGCTCCGGACGTGCAGGCTCAGCGGCCATGGCTCACGGGCCCAGCCGCTCCGCGGCATGTGGGATCTTCCCAGACCGGGGCACGAACCCGTGTCTCCCGCATTGGCAGGCGGACTCTCAACCACTGCGCCACCAGGGAAGCCCTCAAATTAGGAACAAAGCAATTCTTTAGGCAGTTTGTAGTTTCTAAAACATTTTGACACGACACTATCATCCTTTGAAGACTTCCTTACTTTGTGATACAAGAAGATATTCCAGGGTCATCTTGAATTTTCCCTGCTTGAGCCCTGGAGTCTTAGCCAATTTTCCAGGGAGCCCTGGGTCCTTTAAGTAGAGAATGGTATTTAGAAGCCAAGATCTAGGTTTGCTTATTGCTACTGGTATGTCATTGCTTTTAGGCCCTCTCCACAGACAAGATTGGGAAACAAACACACACACACACACACACACACTTTTATATGTATCTCTGTTACATTAAATACCATGAGTTCATACTGATACACTCAATTCCAATCCAACAGCAAAGAATTCTTTCAAGCTTTTTCCCTTTCCATGTTTGTAACTCCCTTCTCCAGCACTGAGAAATCTATTTTTAATCATTTTGAATGTAACTAAGTTTACAGTGAGTGTCTTGCTTTTTTTTTTTAATTGCTGTTTAAAAAAATATTTTTCCCACTTGTATGGGTCTTTGCTCTCTAAGAACTATAAAAACTCCAGAGTTTTCATTTATTTATTCATTCAATCAACATATTTATCAAGCAAACACTACGTGTCAGATAATGTTCTAGGGGTGGGGCTACAGCAGTGAATAAAGCATCGTATTGGGAAAGGAACCATGGAAAGAGAGAATAATAGATACAAACTAGGAAAAAGCTGGGATCTGAACGCAGACAGCCTGGCTCCAGAATTCATGCTATACCATCTGCCTCTGATTGCTCTCGTAATTTGCTCTCTGCCTTCTACAAAAATTCACAACTCTCTTGAATCCAATAAAAATGCCTCTGTCAGTTTCTAAATCTACACAGTGCAGAGCCTTGTGCATCTTCCACATTACTTAACATCTCTGAGACTCAGTTTCCAAATCTGCGAAAATGAAGATCCTAATCTCAACTTGCTGTGAGGATAAATTAAAGTACATGAGATGCCTGGTGATATTTGTGACACATCATTTGTATTTAGTGAAGTTAATTTTCCTTCTCTTTTTCAACATAAATGCTACACTATAAAGTTCCCCCAGAACAGAGACTTTTTTTCCCTCTCTCTAACTCAACTGATCAGTCAATCATTTATATATTCATTCTTACATCCATTCGAAAAGGAGTTATTGAAAATCCAATATATACTAGGCTCTCTCCTGGTCATCAGGATATAGAAATGGCACAGCCCCCATTCTCAAGGAGCTCACAGTCACATCCAAGAGACACACAAACAATTACAATATAGTCTGATATGTAGTTCAGATGCGAGCTGGATGAAGGATGGTCATGTCATGGAAGAAGGCTTCCTGAAGGAAGTGGCTCTGTCGTAGCAAGGACTAGAACAGTGGTTCTGCTGTTAAAGATGTCAAGAATAAATAAGTATATGGGTAAATGAATTCAATTCAGTTCATATATTTCATAGAAGATCCTACTGTCCAAGGCCTTGTGCTCTGAACTGGGAGTGTGCAGATGAAGAAGGGGCAGCTCAGGCCTTTAATGAGCTTCTAGTTTTACTGGCAGATACAAACATCTGTAAAGAGATGTTTCAATACAATGTAGAGAATCCTGTGGGGTAGGTGAGCTCCTGCGACAGTAAGAAGATGGAGGGAGGCTCCATGCTCTACTCGTGGATGGATGAAAGGGGGCTCCAAGTTCTATTAGTGCAGGTTTCCTAGAATGAATTGTTGCAGCTTGAATATAACCAGTAGATGAATAGGAGTCATTGACAGCTTCTAATCAGAGGAATAATAGAGTCAAAACTGTATTTGTTGGTAGGATGGAGGATGGAAACGGGAAGGGAAAACTAAAGGACACCAGCAAAGAGGCTGAATTATGAATAGGAAGCTTGATCTGGAGATAGAATTTGGCACTGTTTGCAATTACTTAGGGAGAGTATGTAAAGAGGATTGATGGAACCCAGCAAACCAAGACTCTTAACTAGCTGCAGAGAAAAACAGCCCTGGATGGACCCCGTAAGGAGAAGAGTCAGAAGAGGATAATTAGGAAAGACTGGTGTCCTGGGAGTCAAATGAATAAAAGAGAAGGCGGAGACAAGGAGGATCAGGAAAGAGACAGCAGTTGTGTCCAATGCTGTACAGAGATCAAAAAGCGTCCACTTTATTTGGCAATAGGTGACTTTTTAAAAAAAATATTTATTTACTTATTTAGGCTGCGCCGGGTCTTAGTTGCTGCACGCGGGATCTTCCTTGCTGCATGAGGGATCTTTCCTTTTTAGTTGTTGCAGGAGGACACTTAGTTGCGGCATGCACGTGGGATCTAGCTCCCCGGCCAGGGATCGAACCCCGCCCCCTGCAATGGAAGCGCTTCGTCTTACTCACTGGATCACCAGGGAAGTCCCCGCAATAGGTGACGTTTGCCAGAGCAATTTCTGTGTTGGTGGTGAAGGCGGGAGTTCCACTGCAATAAATGAGTGAATGAGGGAGGAGAAAAAGCCAAGACGAGTAAATGAATGAATAGATCCAGCGCTGTGCCCTCACTTGCCCTGGGAATTTCCAAGGCCAACGTCGGGAGCTGGTGTTGTGGAAGGACCTTCCAGACAGGGCTCTGGATGCCGCCTAGGAAACCTGTCTGCTTCGCAACCCTTAGGTAGGCGCGGCTCCAAGGTCAGGGTCACCTCTGGCCTCCAGGCAACCCGTCACCTTGACGACCAACTGAAAAAAACCGGAAAGTACGGAAGCTGTCAGATCATCTCGCGATATCTGGCGGGCCGTCGTCGGCCTTCCGGGCATGGGAAAGGAGGCGGCTCTCGCGATAGTTGCCTGGGGTTTGAGCGCGGGGCCCGACGGTCCGGAAAGCTGGAACTGCGGGTGGGGAACATGTCGGATTCGGAGCTCGGCAGGAAGTGGGACCGGTGCTTGGCGGATGCTGTCGTGAAGATAGGTAAGGGGTTCCTCGTCTCCGGCAGGCCCCACCCGGAGCCGATAAGTTGGCTCAAGGCTCCGCTGACCCGGAGGGCGGAGGAGAAGCCCCGGGAGAGGTCAGGCCGTTTGGCCTGTTCCAGCCCCTCAGGCCAGGGAGAGCTGTCCGGGCCCGGGCGGGAGGTCACTACGGCGGCTGGGGACGCGGGCTCCAGGAGCCTGGGCGGCTGCCCGAGGCGGGAGGGGTGGAGAGGCAGCCCCGAGGAGGTGGGGGTCGGGTTGGCAGGTGGCAGGAGAGTTGGGGAGCTCTGCGAGTTGAAGCAGTATGCAGGGCGCAACCTTGGGCTGGAGGCTGGAAATTCTCCTCCCTCGTGTCACATCTCTCGCACGGGGCGTGCAGCTTGGCCTGGAGGCCACATTCCTCCTCTGCTGAATCAAAAGTGCCCTCTAAGAAGGTCATCGGGAGCATTTTATAGATACTGTCAGGCTTTAACGTGAGTTGTTGTCATTCCCGAATTGTAACCTGGTTTATAGGCATCAGAGTAGTCTGGGGCCTGAAATCCGAGACATAGTGATGGTGATCTGGAATTAGAATTGCCTTGGAAAGTAAGATAGTGATTGGTAACTTTTCAGCCCTTAGTGTAACTCGGTGTAGCCTTTTAACACGTGCTCAGGGACGACACAAAAATTATGAAGTCACTGCTTGGAGGGGAGAGGGAAAGAGGGAAACTCACTAAGTGCCAGACTCTGTGCTTGGTGTGCAACTTAATACATTATTTAATACAAGTCATGAAATTGAGAGTCAAGTGAAGGGATTTGCCCAGGGCCTAATCAATGACAAAGTTGGGAATTTAACCCAGGTTTTCTGGCTTCAAGTACCATACTTTTCTTCGATACTAATTTTTATTATCTAATTTTGATATTTTTGTATGGAAATCTTAAAAAAGTATTTAAGAGGATTTAGGATTGTGCCCTTGAATGAAAATATTGGAAAAGAAATAAAATTGTAAGGTCCATGAGAGCAGGGATGTTTTCTGGTTCATTCACTGCTGTAGCCTCAGCTCCCAGAAGAGTGCTTAATAAAAAATGTTGAGAATGAGTCAGTAAATGAAGTAATTTATCAGAGCTACCCCTTCATCCTCGAATTCACCACTTACCGGCTGTGTGATTTCGGGCAAGTTATCTAACCTCTCTGTGCCTGCTTGCTCATTTGTAAATTGGCAATAATATTGCTATCTCACAGAGTTGTTTTGAGGATTAAATGAGTGAGTTTATGTAGAGGCTTCCTTAACTATGAAATGGGGATAAAGAGATAGATTTACCTAAAAGGATTATGAAGACTGAAGGACAGAAAAGTACACAAGATACTTGCACAATGCCTGGCACTTACTATATATTCAGTAAATGGTGGTAGTAATAATTGTTAATATTGATACTGTGCCACTGCTGATCACCTGAGGCAGTAAGTAGTGTGTGTCATTCATGAGTGGGACATTGGTGGGGCATACACAGGTGGAATAATTAAATGAAGCATGGTGATATATGATTACAGATAAAAACTAAAATAAGTTATTTAGACTTTTTGCTGCAGAGCTATTATTATAAATCAAGTAAATGGAGTGGTGGGTTGAGGGAAGTGGGCCTTTAGTAGAGCTTTGGATAATGACTTGGACTTGGATAGTCAGGGAGAGTGGAAGAACTTGAGCAGAGGCTGGTTGAACTTTTATGGAGGAGGAATTGAAGCACGGAGAGGTTAAGTGGCTAGGAGTGGAGGAGCTGGGGTTAGACCCAGGCGTTCTAATTTCAGCACCCGCCTACTCCCTAAACAAGGCTGCTTTGAGTGGAGTCAGAATTGTGGATTACCTTAGAGAGATTCTACTTTACCTTGAAGGCTTTTGAGTTGGCTTTGACTTTTTCACATGCATTCTGCATATTCAGCACCTTTGTCTTTAAAAATCTATTACTTTCTGCTCCCAGGGCTCAGTAAATCGAGGCTAGTAGGGAATCATGAGATTTTTTTTTTTTTTTTTTAGATGTTGGGGGTAGGAGTTTATTAATTAATTAATTTATTTTTGCTGTGTTGGGTCTTCGTTTCTGTGCGAGGGCTTTCTCTAGTTGTGGCAAGCGGGGGCCACTCTTCATAGCGGTGCGCGGGCCTCTCACTATCGCGGCCTCTCGTTGTGGAGCAGAGGCTCCAGACGTGCAGTCTCAGTAGTGGTGGCTCACGGGCCTAGTTGCTCCGCGGCATGTGGGATCCTCCCAGACCAGGGCTCGAACCCGTGTCCCCTGCATTAGCAGGCAGATTCTCAGCCGCTGTGCCACCAGGGAAGCCCATGAGATGGTTTTAAGTAACAAATATGTACTGAGCTATGGGCCAGTCAGTGGGCAGATAGGGAAAGAGAAGGCATTTCAGTGCCCTCAACAGGGAACTTATGTGATGTAAATGGAATTTTGGTATGATTGTCCTGGCAGTGTTTTATATAGAACAAATCAGGAGTAGAGGAGGCTAACAGTACTGTGAATGTGAAGTGATAAAAGTCTGAACTGTTAGACCAGAAAGGATGGGTCTGTTTGAGAAACTTCAAACTTTATCCCTCATTTATAAAAAGGAGATAGTAATACCCACCTCCTGGGCTAGCACAGTGCCAAGTACATAGTAGGAACTCAATAAATGCTATTTTCTTTATCTTCTCTCCAACTGGGTTAACTTTGCCTCATTTCATTTCTTATAAAGATGACTCCAAGGTTAGAACTTGGTTAAGTGGTGATGTCATTGATAAGAATTTGGAAGTAAAGCAGGAGGGGTGCATGTGCACCTCATTATACTAAGTTACATATAAGACTTAGTAACTGATCATGTGAGGTGGCAGGAGAGAGACTGTAGTGAGAAAAAAGCTCATAATTTTGATTGTTTTTCTGCTTACATGGTTGAATCTGTTTGAGAATGATAATGAGGTTGAGAAGAAGTTTTTAATTTTGAGGGAGAAGCTGAGTTCAGATTTTGAGGGGGTTGTCCCTGAAGTAATGGACGTAGAGAAAGGGCATATGAGAAATGAAGCATGGAAGTGTAATTTTGGGGGACTTTCGTCTAAGAGGTATTTGAGACTATGGAATGAACACTTTTTTTTTTTTTTTTTTTTGGCTGCCTTAGGTCTTAGTTGCGGCATGTAGGATCTTTCGTTGTGGCACGCGGGCTTCTCTCTAGTTGTGGCGCATGGGCTCTAGAGTCTGAGGGCTTAGTTGCCCCGCGGCATGTGGGATCTTAGTTACCCGACCAGGGATTGAACCTGCATCCCTTGCATTGGAAGGCAGATTCTAAACCACTGGATCACCAGGGAAGTCCCTGGAATGAACAGTCTTCTCTATGAGTGTGTTAGTTCCTATTCCTATAGGCAGTGAGGTTATAGAACTCTTTAGAAGTTATAGAGGTTATAGAACTCTTTAGAAGCAAGCTTCTTTGGCTGCTTGCTTTTCTAGTACTTCAAAATGGAGATGGAGACTCAGGAACGGCAGCCTGCCATAATAAGATAGAGGTTTTGTAGAAGATGTAGGCAGGGAAGAAGGACCAAGGCAAGCTTTCAGCTGCATATTGATAATTTCATATTCTCTGGCTTCAGAGAGACTGAAGGGAGGTCAAGGTGGATGGACAGCTCCCCTGGTGAGCACTTCTCTGTTTGGCACCTTATAATTAAGTGTTTTCATTCTTTTCCCACCGATTTGCTGAAAAATGACTATTTTAATCGCTCATGTTTAGCCTAGATATTGTACAGCTGAGTTAAAGAGCCCTCATAAGCATGTACTTTAGACACAAGTTGTTTTAAAAATTGTACTTCAAGGATTTACTCTGAAGCTTGAGTAATGTTCTCATATGATTTTGTCCTATAGGAAGAACTACATTTATTTATAAATACCACCTCTCCTTTCCTATCATAGGGAAAGCAGTTCTATTTCCCCCATATTCTGGTTTAAAAATATCTATTTATTTGTGTGTAATAGGAGTATGTGGGATGGAAGATTTCTAATATGGTTTGACCTGGTGTATTGAGCTCACTGACTCAAAGAAACAAAACAAAACACACTGCCTCCCTGTAATAGGCACAACAGGCCATTGTTTGTTAAACATGTTTCTCTCTTCTTTCACTTCTTGTTCCTTTCTTTTCCTTTCTTCCCCTCAGATTTTTCCTTTCTCCCTAGTTCATCCATAAGGTTTGAGACTAATGTCTTTAAAAAATAATAATAACATTGTTAGCATTTAAGAAGTTCCTAGGTGTCCTATTTATTCTCCATCACATCACTAAATTCTTTTAAAGCTTTTTTTAAAAATTAATTAATTTAATTTAATTTTATTTTTGGCTGTGTTGGGTCTTCTTTGCTGTGCGCCGTCTTTCTCTAGTTGCAGCGAGCGGGGGCTACTCTTTGTTGCTGTGCCTGGGCTTCTTGTGGTGGTGGCTTCTCTTGTTGCGGAGCACAGTCTCTAGGCATGCGGGCTTCAGTAGTTGTGGCATGCGGGCTCAGTAGTTGTGGCTCGCAGCCTCTAGAGCGCAGGCTCAGTAGTTGTGGCGTATGGGCTTAGTTGCTCTGCGGCATGTGGGACCTTCCCGGACCAGGGCTCGAACCTGTGTCCCCTGCACTGGCAGGCGTTTTTTTTTTTTTTTTTTTTTTTTAACACCTTTATTGGAGTATAATTCCTTTATAGTGGTGTGTTAGTTCCTGCTGTATCACAAAGGGAATCAGCTATACATATACATATATCCCCATATCTCCTCCCTCTTGCATCTCCCTCCCGCCCTCCCTATCCCACCCCTCTAGGTGGTCACAGAGCACCGAGCTGATCTCCCTGTGCTATGTGGCTGCTTCCCACTAGCTATCTATTTTACATTTGGTAGTGTATATATGTTCATGCCACTCTCTCACTTCGTCCCAGCTTACCCTTCCCCCTCCCTGTGTCCTCAAGTCCATTCTCTACATCTGCATCTTTATTCCTATCCTGACCCTAGGTTCTTAGAACCTTTTTTTTTTTTT